CAATCTTCTGGGGTTTGAAAATAATCACTTATGATGCTATATTTGTGAGGCAGTCTGCACTCATTGCTGCACCCTAAGTCTGACACTGCAGGAGGTGTCAGCAGAATAAGTGTTTTTAAACTTGACATATGTACAAACTTCCCCTCAATGTCCCCCTCTGGGGGTCAACAGAAGGTCCCAGGACCTCTGAGCACTTATCTCACTCTCTGTATTTCTGCAGATGTGCATTAGGAAGATGGGGCCTTGAGATGGAGAGCTTGACCTCCCCAGCATCACCATTTGTGTAATCGGGGATTTGCTCTGGAGATTAAGAATCAGGGCTGTTGGGATGCATGGATCTTGGGTGTTGGGATGCAGAGATCCCCAGTGGCAGAAGTAGAGAGATGCTAGGATCCTGTGCAATAGCTGCTTTGGCATGGCCTTTGAGGTCATTGATGTGCCACCCTGGGAATGGACATGAACATCACTTCCAGGAGGTGAAAATGCAGACATCGCTCCACCTGTCATGTGCAGTTTATCTAACCTTGAACTTAATTTTAGTCTGATCAATGTTTAACTCAGAGCATACTAAAAAAATGGCTGCTTTTGTTTTTCTTAAAATTAGTGTTAGACAAAAAATATAGGTAAAAAAGTTCTTCCTGGGGAGGAAGCATTTGCATTCTTAGTCTCAAGTGAAACATGAATTATTTGGGGCAATATTTTGTATTATGAGTGTTTCTGGTTTCCATACATCTGGGCAGATAATTATCAGCAACAGAGACAGGATAGTCTTAGATGTTAAGATTCTAGAAGGGAAGGGCTTGGCCCTGGGTTCCTATGTCCTGAGATAGCTTTATCCTCTGCAGAATCACACACACACACACACACACACACATATACACACACAGCCTCCTAGTTGGGCAGGACCCTCAGTGAGTTCTGGTCTGTTTCAAATGTCTAGCAAGATTTCTGAGTTGGCCTCTTTTATGGTATCCTCAAGTTTTGTGGATTTCTACTTTTCTGATTGCCTACCAGCTCAGCTGTTTTCTGACTGATCTCAGGCACTTCCTTGTATATATTGCATCCATACTGCTACTCTTGTTCCAGATGTTGAAGTCTGCCTTGACCATGAACATTAGCACATTTTTCCAAGTTCTGGCCTGCTTGTGTTCTGAATTCAGTTCCCCTCTTCTGGTCTTCAGGATGCTTGGTTTATTTATCCTTTTTCGTCACCCTGTTTCTGAGAACCCACTGCCTAATCCAGCATTGCACATAGAAGATGCAGAATAAATGTTCTTTGAATGACCTAAATTAAACCACATACAGTGAAGCCAATTATGTATTTTATGCATGTTTTTGATGTCTTGTGTAATACAAATGCAAATGAATTCTTATAAAACAAACGATAGCCCCTGTGTCACTTACAGAGAATGACTCAATCATTCATTCGTCATATAGTTGCTGGCCACCTGTGTGTGATGTAGGTATACAATGCAAATGATTCTGACAGAGCCAGATGGAGCCAAGAGAGTATCCACTGAGAGCTTTCCCCAGAAGAGGATGATATTGTTTCCTAAGGAAAGAAGGCATCTATCCTTCCACTTATATGACATAAGTGGTTTGGCTTTCATCTTTGACTATTGAGAATTGTATCAAAAAACTGATATAAAGATAGGTTTAAATACCATACCTTATCCAATGACAATTAATGGAAAAATATCTGGACATGAATTTCTTGTTAAACTCTTTCAAATCTCAAACTAAATTTTAAATATAGTCATTTTCAAACCCTTGATCAGTAAAGACAACTTGGTAGATCACAACTCACAAAACTTTATTTTTTAACGTGTGGTTTCGTGATGCTTCTTGCTCCATATTACAAGGATTTTGGTGTATTATTCAATGTATTTAAACGTATGTGAATAAATTGAAGATTGGCTAGAAGTTGACCAAAACGAAGTTGTTCTTACAAACGCATTTAATTAAGAAACATGTTTGCTCAAATATTTCCAGAGGCAAAGTAACTATGTGTGATTTGTCCAGTTTGCTTCCTCTTCCTCCCCTTCCTCCATCCCCACCCTCTTTATTGAGGTATAATTTATATAGAACAAAATTCACACATTTTAAGTGTACATGTCAATGATTTTTGAAAAATGTAAGCAGCTGTGTAACTACCACTCAATCAAGTTGTAGAGCATTCGTCTCAACCAGAAATTTCCCTTGGACTCTGTTATAATCCATGTCTTCCCAAACTCCAGACCCAGGAGAGCACTAATCAGCTTGCTGTCACCACAGGTTGAACCTCCTGTATGTGGAACTATATAATCCGTGCTCTTTCTGTCCAGCTTCTTTTGCACAGAGAAGTGTTTGAGAGGTTTCTCCATGTTGCTGCAGGATTCAGTAGTTTCTTCCTTTTTATCACTCAGTCCTATTCCACTGTTTCTCTATCCATTCACCTGCTGATGCAAATATGAGTTATTTCCAATGTTGGCCATTGTGAATAAACCTACTATGAATTTTTGTATACAAGTCCTTCTGGACACACGTATTTTCAATTCTCTTGGGTAAATATGAAGGACAGGCATTGCTGAATAATATGGTAAGCAAAGGTTTAATTTTATAAGAAATTACCAAAGTGATTTCCCTAGTGGTTGCATCCTTCATAGTCCCACCAGTAGTGTATCAGATTTCTCCTTGCTCCACAATCTCTTCAGCAGTTAATATGGCCAGTTTATCAATTTTAATTTTGGCCACTCTAATAGGTGTGAAGTATTCTGTGGGGAGGGACTTTGAAAGTACATAAATATCCATTCCTTTTAAAACTTTTCATTCAGTCATTTAGTTATTTTACATCAGTATGGACTCGTGTTCTGTTTTATTCAATGAATTATAATCTATTGTTTCAAAAAACAAGATCCTAGATTTGAATTTCTCTTCAATTTCTCTTACATGTGGCCACAGTGCAGGGGTAGTTGGTTCTCTGACTTGCCTGGAATATATGGGAAGTTTTCAGGTCTCAGAGCGGGATGTCAACCATCTCCTCTACCTGATATGACTCAAATTCCTGTGAGTCTTTGTCTTAACTAGTTTGCTTTTATAAAGGAACTGTTGAAAACCCAACTAAAATAACTAGTAGTTGAAAATTATGGTCTAAAGGCATTCTAACAATCAGTTCTTCAAACCCCCAAATCTCTATACCAGTGTCAACTTCACTGAATCATTGGAAATTAATTCACACCCATAGCCACACTCTGAGCTTATTTATTACCTACAATTTTCTATTTTAAGATACACTTCAAAATCCCAGGTCCTGGATCAAACTTCTGAACCTCTGATCGTTCTCACAAACTCATTCCCATCATTTCTGTTCTTCAGCCTTGTTAACTACTCCACTGCCTCTCAGTTTATCAAGGTACCCGCCTCCTGCCTTGCCTTCCCTTCGTAGCCTGTTCACTGCATGGTTTACTCATGTTACCCACTCTCTTGCCAGTCTGTCAGTTCCCTTGACCAAGTCTCACTGTTAACGGTGAAACATCTTCCTCTGCTCTGTTCTCGGGCAGCTGGATTCTGCTGAAGAAAATTTAGAGCTATCTCAAGTCCTCCAAAATCCTTGGTTTGTGTAATCAGCTGGGATTCCGTATTGACTGGGAAGGATTTGGAATGAATACAGTCCCCTAAAAAAATCTGTGTTCCAGAAAATAAAAATTGTCAATTCCCAGCCTTTATATATTGATGTACTTCAATCAATACTTTGGCTGAGGAAAATTGGCCCTGAGCTAATATCTGTTCCAATCTTCTTCTATTTTATAAATGAGACGCCTGCCACAGCATGGCTTGATAAATGGTGTGAACGTCCGTACCCAGGACTTCAAGGTCAGTTTTAAGCCCTCCTTTCTTATCACCTTATACTCTCTCCCTAGGATCTCATTTTTGCCTTTAGTCACCTTTTAAAAAGTTATTTACTCATTAACTCTAAAACTTTTGTGTTGAGCATCACAAGTTTAGAGCTTCAGATCATATCCTGCGTTTGCGCTAGATTCATATATTCATGTGATTACTAGACAACTCCATTTGGATGTCTCAAAAGAGATTAAAATTCAACAAACGCAAACCTAAACCTGGGATCTGATCATCTCTCCAAAACAAAATCTTCTCCCAACAAACTGGTTGGTTAGGCATGCTTGAAAATATAGGCATCATTCTTGGCTTCTGTCTCTCATTTCTGTCATATATAATGTGTTGCCAGAATTCTGTGGATTTTTCCTTCCTAAACAATTCTCACAGGAATCTGTTTCTCTCAGTCTCCACTCCTGACACTCTAATGGTTTGCTAATTAATTTCACAGTATCCACAATCTTGCTCCTTCTCATCCATTTACATATTAATAACCAGAGATACATTTTAAAGATGCAGGTATGATGATCTCACTTTCTTCTTTGGACAAGAAATGAACAAAAGCTGTAATGGCTTTCCCTTTATTTTAGGATAAAATTGAATGTTCTTAACGTGTGCTACAAAGCCTTTCATGTTCTGGTAGCAGCCTACACTTCAGCCTAATCATTCCTTTTCGTATTTGGAATTTTCTTTTCTTTTTGTTGAGGAAGATTAGCCCTGAGCTAACATCTGCCACCAGTCCTCCTCTTTTGGCTGAGGAAAATTGGCCCTGAGCTAATATCTGTTCCAATCTTCTTCTATTTTATAAATGAGACGCCTGCCACAGCATGGCTTGATAAATGGTGTGAACGTCCGTACCCAGGATCTCAACCAGCGAACCCTGGGCCACTGAAGTGAAGTGCACGAACTTAACTGCTATGCCACTGAGCCAGCTGCTGAGTTTTCTTTTTGTATGTGATAATATATTCATGAATTATCTTTCCTATTTGGGGTGGGCTACTTGCACTTTGTTAAAAAGAAAAAGAAAAGGGAAGAGCAACAAATAATATGATTGTCACTGTTTTATGATCATGTGTTTCATAAAACCAAAAAATTTAGATATTTAAGTTCACAAATAACACCTATACTTTAATAAATGTGGGTGCTAGCATAATAAGTTTTATTAGTAGAAATGATTTTGAAATTGGAGATATGCTATTTCCAAATTAGGAGAAGATATAGTATTGAAATATCCCATCATCTTATCTTGAACATTTTGTCCAAAGGGAATCATCATGAGGAAATAAAGTAGGTTTACAGGTGTTTGTAGAAAGAGAGAGATAGTCAGTCATGCTATTTCAACCATTATGCTCTTAGTGATGACTATGAGATTGGAAAGGACAAAGAATTAAAGAGAACCTGTTATTTCTAGCTATCAACATATTAGAATAAATGTGAACTTCCCCTTAAAGTAGTAGCAGCCTAATTGCATCTAAGGAGAAGAGACTCTGCCCATGAAGAGGATGCTGTTGGTGTTATTGTGCTTGATGAAGAACAGGAAAGGGTGATCACAGTGGAAACTTCCATAAATTAGTGCTGATGTTCTACCACTAACTATGATGCCTGTAGCAGCTGTGGCCTCTGTGCCCTCCTCATTCACCTCCAAGAAGGACTTGTGTGCAACTTTTGTCACCAGGAGATCCCGGCTCTTTGCCATGCCCAAGAAGTTGGCATCCCATTCACTGAAGGCGTCCACTATCCCCATGGACATCAGCGTGTCCTTGAGGTCATAGCTGTCTTCCACTTTGAACCGAGGTAAATATAAATCCACGAGCCTCTCCCTCATATTCTGTGAGCTTGTCCACTCTATTAGTTTCTCAGTGGTGAGTTTATCTTCAAGCTGTAACAATGGACAAAAGGAACAATGAAGTGATTCTCAGTGGACATTGAACATACCTTAACATTGGACTGAATCATGTGGAAACCTTTATTTTAACAGTAAATGTAAGTACAGAAGTTACATAGATATATAATAATAATAAAGTGAATCTTCTATATTATACCTGTAAAATAAATGGTAGCTTCTGCAATATACACATATAATATATATGAAACATATATATAAAACAAAAAAGAAACTTTAAATAAAAATATTTTGTAAAAGATGAACTATATGTCCCCATTTCTTAAGCTGCCAGCGCACTTCATGTTTCATTTTTTAATAGTCTATTCTTGTTAATGTCCTTCTGTACACAGTTTTTTACATACTGCAATTATACCATACCACCTATTTTTATTCATTTTTCTTGCTTGGCCTATTTGTAAACTTTCACCATACAGATATATATTTCTCTAATCAAGTTTAAATTATTGCATAATGCTACCATTAAATTGACGTTCGTGTATATGTCTTTCCTTGATATTTTTTAAACATGTATGGTGTGTCAGTCCCTAAGCTAAACTATTGGCAACACAAAGATGCAGCATTGTTCTTTGTTTAGAATTTTTCATTATTTTGAGCCATTTCTGTCCAAAGGCTGTTGCCTTGTTTACATTAGTTAGTTTAGGATCAAATCCCAGGACTGGGATGTCATTAACAACGATGGCTGAGCTACAGGATGAATACTGTAATGGTCCTTCACATACATTGCCATGTTACTTTCCCTGAGGATCTCCAATTTCTAGGCTTACCACAACATATATTTTGAGTGCACTCAAAGTTCACTGCAACTTCAGCATCATCATAAACTATTATAGTAATTGCAAATGGCTATTTTTGGGATGTTCTTAATATTCCAGATATTGTTATTGTTGTTTTTCATGTTAACTTCAACCATTATAACAGTGCTAAGAGGAAAATTTCTTTTTTTTTACTTGCAGAAATGAGGCGCTGAATGACTTTTGAGCTCCTAGGGACAGAGTACTTCTAAACTGAAAAGTAGGCATCAAGGTCAATCTATTTGTCCACTGTCCCCAAACCAATGTGATTTAATATGCAAAATGGTGCCCAGTGTTGTTTTAATTTGCTTGGTTTTGTTTATGAGTGAACTTGTATATATTTTCCGTGTGTGACATTCATCTGAGTCTTAGTTTCCTTGTCTTCAAATGAATACACTGGACTATATCAGAGGTTCTTCTGGTTGCAAAATATTATAGGTGTGTGACTAGGTATATTCTGAACTGACATTTCATATTTTCATCAGAATATTAATGCGACCTCTGATATTAAGATTTTCTATATATTCTTCCATATCACACTGTGATACTTAAGATATTTGTTCTATGGAATGCAGTATGATGCCAGGTTCTCCTTAACAATTCTCCTTTAGACTGCATGCAGAGAAGAAGAGTAGTCTATTCCTGAGCTCTGTTAGACATCACCAACACTCTGTGAGCACCACTTCAATGAACAGCCCATACAAGCAGAGTGCTACTAGGAAACTGGGCAATAGTATGAAGAATTGGAGGTAGAAGCTGTTACCTTCTGCAGACCATCCACTTCATTTGGCAGCATCAACATCATGCTTAGATCTTTGCCTTTGTATGGTATTTCCAGGATCTTGGCTTGCATGTCCTCCAGTTCAGTGAAATTAAAGGAACCAATTTGTTTCATCATCTGCACGGATTTGCTGGTATCCTGCAGTAATTAATGTGGGAAAGAAATGCCAAGTGAGGTGTAAGTCAAACAAACATAATACTGTTGAGATGCCAAACACATCCTCTTTCTAAGAGATGATCTGGGAAATCTTTGAATTATAGGAAGAGTTTCTTCAAGTATTCCTGACTAAATAAAGTCAAAAAAATGAAACAGGAAAATACAGCCATGTAAATTTCATTGCAACCTGCAGTTGTACATTCTATCAGATATGAGTTTAAAGTGAACATTCCATAGGTAACTAACTATATTATTATCATAAAAAATTATACACGATACCTTGTTCAGCCAAAATTTTTCCTCCACAGTAGATTCTTTATCAAATTTCTTATCCCACTGCCCTTTGAAATAGACTGCATTCACCAGAACCAGAATGGCAAAATCAAGAGAGTCACGGGGAAGCAGATCCTTGATTTTTCCTGCAACAAAAAGGAAAACAAAATTCCATCATAAAAGTACAAGTGGTTTGTCTGAAAGATGCTTTGAAAGTTACTACTGATCATTCACTATTCACATGAGTCACCACTCTACAGACTGTCACTAATAGTTCACGAGCTGCAGCTTTCCTCTTGGCACCAGCCTGATGGACTTACCCCTGATGGGGTGGCCATTCTTTTCACTAGACATGTGTTCAGAGTCTCTGTCTGTGGGCGACTTCAGTCCTCTCACACTGAATATTGATAAACGGATTTCAGCTACTGTGTGAACAAATCCGTTCCCTCCCTCCCTCCCTCCCTCTGTCAGTTCTTCCAAACCTACAGTCATCACCCCGTACTCCCTTTGTCCTTTTATCTTTTTTTAAATTTAGGCTCACTACTCAGAGGAAGAAGCCCTTGGTTTTTCTTTGGGAAAAATGGCATGAACTCTATTATCTGAAACACATGCCCTGTGCCATCAGACCCCACTCCCTGGGGTGTCTTCTTTTTCATTCTCCACTTTGAATAGCTGTAAGTTTGGCCTATAATGCGGGTGGGAGGTATGATAGGGGTTCACAGAATGAGAGTGTGTCAAGCTCTCTGCCCTGGATGGGGAAGACAGCTGGGAAAGTCCCTGCAGGATGGGGGGGATGGAGAAGTGGGCAGGCAGCTCCAGCTGCAGGTGGCGAGGAGGGGAGTTTACAGGAGCGCTGCTTGTTTGCCAATTAACAAAGGACATGGGAATCATTTCTGACGTTTCCCTTATGGAACCATATATAGAAGTTTAGGCTCTGATTTAAAGTAAAGGATGTGAACTCAAGATGGGGTCTGAGCAGAGACTTGGGGTCCACAAAGATCCTGTCATCCACGGCCACGAGCAAACACAGATTCCCAGCTATGCTTTCACAAAGCTGGTCCTGTGACTTCTCCTGAGTTCTTCTTGCTTCTCTCCGCATTGACCTGGAACATTCCACCATCTGCAGTGCCCTCCTCCACCCTCTCTGCAACCTCATCTCAGCTCTCTCTCCTGACACCCAATGCAGTGTCCAGCACAGGGTTCAAGCAGAGCGGGGACTCTCTGTGTTCTTTTATGGATGATCACTCATACTCTACCATTTGTTTGGCTTTCCACCCAGGAATTAATCTTCTTGCGACTTTCTTCTGCAGCAGTTATAAAATCAGCAGATTCCACACTGGCGAGGTAAAATTTCTTAACATTATCCATGTATTCCTTTGACATGGGAAGGAAGAAAGGAGGAATTGAGTTATTTATTATAACTGTGTATTCCCGAGTCGGTTATTTTCAATCTTAACAAAGTATAGCATAGGAATCCAGACTCTGAAGAAATCTACATTTTCTTGATGATGCCTGTTTTTATACAGCTCTCTTGTGGGTAATGTGAAAAGGATGCAAAGGCTGGCATAAGAATGACATCTCTTAAGGGCAATACCATCTGACAAAGGCAGGAGCAGAAGAGGTTGTGGGCTGCAAACGGCAAAGCTTGTTGCTCCAAAGGAGATGGTGTGCTCCTGGGACTCCTCTCCATTAATATGAACTCTTAAGGTTCTCGCCTTTGCTTATATCTTCCATTATGAGCAATCAATATCCTCTAGTACTTCCCCAGAGATGCATCAAGTCGGCCCATTCCATCAACATCCCATCAACCATACGTTTCCTTGGTCATTGCCTACCATGATTCACACTGTGTGACTGAATAGAGTGATATTGTTAGGGATATTTCACGGTTTACCCTGCTACTGTCCCTGCTCTATCCTCACAAAGTAATCCCTAAACCCACACTTTCTTGGAGGATTTCCAGGCTCCAGGACACTCCATGGGGTGTAGTTATGGCAAGGGAGTCTTGCAACCTGGGTAAATGCCCCCCATGGGGGTCAGCCAGGCTCATCTGCTCACTCTCCTCCCTTTGGTCACTGGAGACAGAGGACCTAGGATGCAGATTAAAGGTGTGGCAGGCCAGTGAAACTTTTACCTGACGAAACTGAAACTTCTTTTCTCCATAGAGCCTGTTGGCAATACTCAGCTCATAGGCATCAGTGGGTTTCTTTAATTCAGTTAGAAGCTGTTGAAATCGGTGATGCACATTTCCCAACTTTTCAACCTTCAAACATCAACAGGAAAAAGTGAGCTCATTGCATTCTCTGTCAATGTAAATATTAACTCCACGTAACTCTGTTAGATCCATACCTAAATTTGGTAACCCCACAGATGACATTTGTCATTATTCCCTGATATTGGTGTACTTTCTCTCAAATATTCTTTAAAAGTTTTACATTCAATCTCTTCCAGAAAATTCATTGTTTCTTCTCTAAATATTCTGGTCTTTTCTCTTTTGAACTGCAGATGCAACACCATCTCACCATTGGGTTGTCTTCCAATTGGTACAAATGGTTAGGTCAAGCTTGCCAGCTAAACTTAAGTGTGTTAAGGGCTAGAGCCATTTTCATTTTGACTGCAATCAATGGTATGAGAATATTGAATTCGTGTGTTTCAATGATCTTATGGCATGAAGCCTTGTATACTCCTAGGTGGTATTCTCAGGTGAGACCTGTTGCCTGTGATGTATGTCTCTTCCTCATGATGGTTATACTCCAAGTATAGAAAAAGCATGTGCCTGCTAAGGCTTTACATCAATATCTCCATGTCTTTAGTCCAATTCAGATGAAAACAAGAAAGCTCAGAGAATTAAATAATCTCTCCAAAGAGACACAAGGTAGTAGAAATAATATTTGAACCTAGGCTGTCTGAATCCAGAACCTTCTACTTGCTAGCTAACACTTTGGGACTATTAAGTCTATAACCTATATAGTTCATACAATTATTTTCCAAAATATACTTGGATGTATGCTTATTGCTATTAATCTCATCTATGAGTTATTTGAAGTTATATTAATTTATCATTATTTGGATTACTATAATTATTGTATTTTATAATAATGACACATAACATTTATCAGGGCTTCCTGTAATCCAGGCACAGTCATAATGTTTGCATGTATTTGCATGAATTGAGGCAGATATTTTTATCACTGCCCGGTTACTGGCATGAGGTCCGTGTATCTCAGAGTGGTTGTGCCTGCTCGCCTTTCCTGTTTGTGAACAGCAGGGCAGGAATTTGAAGCTAGTCTTTCAGTTCCAGACCCCATGCTCTTAAGCAAATGCTGATCTCCTCTCGAGAAAGAAAAATAGGAAATAAATAAGCATGTAATATGAGATGAGAAATAACTCTGCTTGTCCTGTGTATTTAGCCCAAAATTTCCGCTAAAAATAGACTTTTCCCTGAGATCCCCAGTTTAAACTCTGACCCTCTTGGATATGTTTCTCCTTCTAGATCCAAGTGCTCTGTGACTCACATGAGCTGTTGTAGGTCTTTCTCTTGCGTTGTCTGTGACTTCATTAAAGTGAAGGACCTGGAAGAGAAAGGAAGTGGGACAAGAAAATTTTACTGAAAAGATCTGTCCAACTTAGGAAATTTTAAAGAAAGAAGAAAAAAAGAAAGAAGGGAAGGAAGGAAGGAAGAAAAAAACCAGAAATAGACCCAAATTAAGAAACAGAAGAAACTTCCAAACCGATCCAAAATAAAAAGAACAATAAAGAAGCAAAGTAAAAAGAAGAAAGGAAACTTCAGTGTAAGCATTTGCTCCTCGAAAAGCTACAGCTGAGTTGGTTGATCACCAGCCACTTCAAAGAATCCCGATTCATCATTCATTCAGGGCTGAGGAATCATGTGAAGATGTTTCCCATGGATTTAAGTCAGTGCATCATTTTTGCAGGTGCTGTGGCATTCAAGCCTCTGCTTGCTGGGCAATTGTAGGAGCTGATCCCAGCTCTCAAAGAAAATCTAGGCACAGGGAAGCAGAGAGGGCAGAGCACTGGGAGAGGGCACATGCCCCCCACAGCCAAGTGCTCACCGGGTCATGGGAATGCTTGACCAGCCTCCTGTGCTACCCCTGGGGACATCCAGATCTGTGAGCATCGGCACCCAAGCCAACAATCAGTCTAAATAGGTGAACATAAAGGGAGCTGACACCTACCTTTCCCATTTGGAGCGCAGTGTTTCCTTGGGCCCCTAAGTACGTCATGGCTAATGCTGATGTGATGCTGAGAGGGGAATAGAAGATGTTGTCCTTCTTTGATTTTTTGAACTGTTGGAACAGATCAAGTGCGAAGTGGGTGTTTGCTTCACTGAGTGAATTCATGGCGGCCTTGGTGTGATCTGGAACTCCTGCAAAAGCATCAGGTTCATTGGATAATGAGTTTACTGAAGAGAAGGTTAGTCTGTAATGAAATTTCCTTAGAAGAAATGACTTATATTGGGGTTGTGGGATTCTGGCAGCTAAACTTTTTCATGTTTTTTACTTTTCAAGCCTTTTTCAATGTACATGTATAAATTTCATCATTAGAAGATTATCAAAATTACTATTTAAAAAGACTTTTGTGGAAAATTAATGGAACTTCATTGTCTTTCCTTCATCACTGGCTGTCCTAGGTGTGGGTAGAAAATGTTTTATAACAACAAGACTGTGATCCATGTGGATCACATCCAACCAGCTCCCATGAGCCACCTCTCTCCTTTTTCCTTTGAGGCTCCATGGGTGCCAGACACCCTCCCCTCCATACACATGCTCCTAAGGGAGCATTTGCTTCATCAGAAGTAAGTACATTAGCTAAAGGATAAATCACATGAACAATGTGTTTCAATTTTGCCCTGGCAGAAAAAGTAAAATACAATCATACAGAATGAATACGTACATGATATTAAAGACATCATTGTTATTATTTTCAAAAATGATTCATGTTGTTAAGCTGGAGCAGCTGGAAGCACTTACCTGTGCTCCTGGAGGAAGCAGAGGTGGGCAGGGAGCCTGCAAGCCTGTGTGTGGTGACTGGTGAGATCCTGAATATATACCTCTCTCTCGCCACCTCCCATTGCTCAGTGCTGTTGGTATCCCAGTAAATGAACTTTTGATTTCTTAACCAGGCTAAACGTCACCTTCACGAATATGAGATTTATGAGAAAAAAATGCTTATTGTTTTATTCCTATACTTCCTTATCACCTTCAGCAATAATTGTGGGCCTGCAATCATTGTCTCATATGAAATGCATGTAGGTGCTTTTCTAACATCAGCGAGAATTAATTTAAAATCAAACTTTCTCTCTTTCTATGAGCTACACCTACCCAGAAATAACCCCTAAAATAACCCCCTTTCTTCTGTTGGATGTTCAACAGTCTTTAAGACCGCCTTCAAACCCAAATAGTTAAAAAGCTTACATTTTCTATTTAGTGTTCTAAAAGGGTTTGTCCAACCTGTTGATTTCCTTAGTAATTATTCTGTATAACCAGGAAAATACTTCAAATTCTCAGTCTAGAGAGAGACTGCTGAGGTGTCGCAGCAGTACACGGAGAACAGGAATCCATTGCCTTCCCCTAAAGGCTGTACCTAGACAGAAGTCCCCCTGTTACCTCCCCAGGCTCCTTGCAGCCAGTCCCCAATGTTCCCTGCTTTTTTAAGGTCAATGGGAAGGATTCATCTTGCCATGTTAACATGCTCACAATGAGAAGAACAATTGATACAGACAGGGTCCTTTTTGCATGGCAGCAGTCTAAATTCTGTTTTAATAGGAGAAAGAAATAAATTGTTTGCTCTTCGGAATCATGACATTTCTTTGTCACCCTGTCCTTTAGCACATCACCTCCAGATTCATCGAATGAACGTCTGGGTCAAATGCCTATTAAAAAAAAAAGAAAACAAGGTATTATTTGAAGGCTATGGTTAAATTTCTTTATTTTTAAATTTTATTGAGGTCACATTGGTTTATAACATTTGGTAAATTTCGGGTGCACAGGTGATCAGATGTTCAGACTTCTGTGTGGACTGCAATGTATTCACCACCAAAAGTCTGGTTGTCATCCATCATCAGACATATGTGCCCCTTCTCTCCTTTCACCTTCCCACACTTTCTTCCCTTCTGGTAACCACCAATCAGTTCTCCATGTCTATGTGTTTGTGTGTTTATCTTTCACATAAGAGCAAAGGCAGATGGGAATTGTCTTTCTCCATTTGACTTATTTTGCTTAGCATTATACCCTCAAGGTCCATCTATGTTGTTGCATGGCATGATTTTGTCTTTTTCTTATGGCTGAGTAGCATTCTATTGTTATATGTACCACATCTTCTTTATCCATTCATCTGTTGATGGGCATTAAGGTTGCTTCCAAGTCTTGGATATTGTGAATAATGCCGCAATGAACATAGGAGTGAATTTTCTTTTCGAATTAGTGTTTTCATGTTCTTTGCATAAATATATGGTTATGTTTCTTATCACAGGAGTCTTATTGTCTTTATGGGCACAGTGTTCCAATAGAGAGAACAATATGAAAAACTGTTGACATTTATTGAGTGGAGATATGTATTTATGCATTTTCACCTTTAACAATGCATTGACGCAGGTCTCTTTGTTGTCCCCATTTCACAGATGACAGAAATGAAGGAAGTGAGCCACACAGCGGTTGAACAGAAGCCCAGGTTTCTACTGTGGTGAATTGCACCGTGAGATATCCAGGCAGACAGTCTGGCTCAGGACCCTGCAATGTGGATCCACCACCCCAACTGCGTCAGACAGACTCTGGGTTTACAAAGACGCATCTCCTTATGTTTAAATGCAGAGAACTGTTTTCTTCTGCACTCTCAGCAGAGATGATTCCTCGACAGAATCTGAAGGGGCGGGAATGGGTCAAATGCTCAGCCCCAAACACTCCTCTGTGGGCCCCACAGTCACCAGGAGGGAAGGCTCCCTTTCAGGCGCCGTCTTAGGGCTCCATCCTGAGACACCCAAGAACTGTGAGTGGGAGTGGATCTGGGATGATTTCCTCTGAGTGTGGGGCTCAGAGAGAGTGTGAAATCATGCCCAACCCTCCATTTCCACAAACAGCTCTATCAAGCTGGGATTGTGTAAATGAGAAACTCTGAGAGGGAACGGAGGCAGACAGAGGAAGTGTCTTTCCTCAGATTGCACTGTCCCTAGGGGCCTGGCTGTGGCTGGGGAGAGGGCTGTTGTTCCAGGACATGCAGCCTCTCATCTCCCCTACCGCATGGGTAGGGGTGTATGTACCGGGAACTGACTTTTTAGTTGAGATTTAATTCATACCCCATAAGGTTCACCTTTTTAAAATGTACCAGTCACTTGTTTTTAGTCCACTGACAAAGTTGTGCAACCATCACCATGATCTAATTCCAGAACAATTTCATCGCTCCCCAAAGAAACCCCCTCCGCAGTTCTGCCCTCACTCCAGGTCCTGGAAACACTAACTTATTTCCTGTCTCTCTGGATTTATCTCTCTAGACTATTATTATAAATGGATTTACACAATATGTTGCCTTTGTACCAGGCTCCTTTCACTCAGCATGATATTTTCAAGGTTCATCTATATTATAGCATGTATCGGTACTCTATTTATTTTCATGCTAAATAATATTCTTTTGTATGATATAACACATTCTTTTTTACCCATTCATGTGTCAATGAAGATTTTAGTTGCATCCAATTTTTGGATACGTGAATAATGCTGATATGAACTCTTGTGTACCAATTTCTTTTGCTTATTTTTATTTTTTAAATTGATATATCATTGCCATATATCATTGTATTAGTTTAAGGAGTACAACATAATGATTTGACATATATTTTGCTAAATGATTACCACAATAAGTTTAGTTAATATTCATCACCACACATTGTTTAAGTTTTGTTTCTTCTGATGGGAACTTTAAGATCTACTCTCCTGGCAACTTTCAAATATGCAATACAGTATAGGTTAAGCATAATCATTGTGCTGCACGTTATATCCCAGATCTTATTTATCTTATAACTGGAAGTTTGTACCTTTGACCACCTTTACCCATTTCACCTACCCTTCACCACCTACCTCTGGCAAGCCTTAATCTCTTCTCTGTGTCTCTAAGTTCAATTTTTGGAGTTTTAATTTATTTTTTAAATTTTTTGTTACTATTTCTTTTAGATTGCATTTGTGTGGACACATTTCCAGACCATTTTGCATTCCCACTGGAATATGATGGGAATATATGTACAAGAGTTCTGATTTCTCTGCAGTTCTCCACCACTAGTTATCATTGTGGGTGTTTTTTACAATCAGCCGTGAGCAGGGTCTCTAGTCCCAGCACATCAAGAATTCACAGGAAGATTCACGTACAAGAAGGTCCCAGATGGGAGGTAGGCAGAAGAGAGATGATCTGGGTTTCTCAAACTGAAAGATTTTCCCTGCCAGATCCCCCTCCCCAGGCCATGCTGCTCTTAGTGTCCTCCAACAATATATGCATAGTGATCCCTGAATGGGGTTGTCATGCAAAAGATCCTTGAGTTGAGACTAAATGGAGTGAGGGGCTTGTGGACTAATGGAGTTTTGATCAACTAAGGGGTATGATGTCAAGAGATAGAAGAAAATGCAGAGGGAAAAGACACAGGATGAAAAATTACAGACATGAGGAATAGGAGCTCCTCAGCCAAGGTTGCATCACAGGTCACTGTCACTAGATAGGGCTGAAGTTCCTGGAATAGCAGGCAGATGAGTTTCTTTGGGCTCAAATGGCAAAGCACCTAATCCCCATAGACAGAAGCAAGAAGCTCAGGCTGGCATGAAAAAAATAGGGTGACAAAGTAGGATATATGGCCTTCAAGGAGACAGATCTATGGAAGGAAACTTTTGACTAAGGCTGATTTCTCCTGAGACTAAACTGCCAATATTTGTAACTCAAAGGTTGAGTTTGAGGAAAAGGCACTACTTGATAAGGATCACGAGTTTGCTTATATTTAAATAGAGCTTGGGTTAGTTCAAATGAGAAACCATTTCATGCCTTTTTTCTGTTTCTGAAAAGTGCTCCTGGCATTTAATAGAGAGCATTGTGACATCCTGATGTCATATAGTGTCATTGAAGTCTCAGCAATTTTCAAAAGTTTTACATGTAAATACTTGCCAGCTTATGTCTTTGGGTATTTCTAAATATACGCCAACATCATTAGCTTCAGGAATCCAGACACCCAATAAAACTCAAGAGGAAATTACATTTTCAGGAACCACCCTGGTATTTCCAATCCCTTTATGGGTTGTTTAAGAAATATCTCCTTGGTTTCCCTGAACTATACTTCCTTGTGAAGATTTCTCAGCATTGTTAAGTTGCAAATCTTAGGGGATATTTTATTTCTTCCTTCTTACCAGGTATGTGCTTCTGTCTGTCTACAGGGAAACTGGTTAGCAGGGAAGATTTTCAAGCATCAACAATAGAATATGTGCCAATTACTGTATTCCCTAGAGATACGGATGTAGGTATAGATATGTATAATTTCAATAATTTGAGAACAGGTTTAATTAATTTTGCTTTAATTTTCACAGAGGAGAACTCATTCCATGATGATTTGAAAAGATGTTAGTTAGGGAAATGGTCTCATATGTAGGTATATCATGGAAGACCGAGACAAATTCATATTACCTCCTCCCTTTCCTCCTTCTCTGACTCAAATATCAGCCCAGACAGTCCTACTTGGTGCATTCAACAATCCAACCCTGTCCCTCACTGATTTCTTATAACTACACCCACCCCTCCCCGCCAACACACAGACACCGATTCATCTTGGCATTTCTGTTCTGCTGCCAAGAAATACCCATGCTGGCTCTCCGTTTTCCTAGAACTTCCCCTCTTCCTCCTTCCTTTATCTGAAATAGGGATTTTCCCCAAGACTGCATATTCCTTGATCGGTTCTCAGGGGGCGGCTCCTCCCTCCCCCATCTTCCCCCCATAAAGGCAGGATACTGGCCTTTTCTTTCTTTTATTCCCACTCACGTTTCTAGCTTTGTTCTTTCCCTGTCATCAACACTTTGCTTCAAGTTTTGGGCCATGCAGGTACATCATTATGTTCCCACCTACCATCTTGTATGTCACTCCTTAATATTCACTAAGTAATCTGTTGTCTCTACACCCTTTCATGATTTCCTCTTCATCCTAACTGCTTCCAGTATTCTGGGTGACTTCAAAGCTTTCATGTCATAGGCAACAAATGGACTCAATTTTTGTTTTATTGTACATCTCTATTCTAGTCAAATTTTCTCCTTTGTGAAAAAAGTCATTGTACCTGCCCTTTTGTTCGTTGGATCCATGATGTTTCTTTATCTATTTGCATATGCCTTCTGTACAAAAGTAATATTACTTATTATGGATGCCTGTCTCTGGAGTACCAGTGGAGATCCAAATTTCTGGAGGGATAAAGAAATTTGATTATATGGGATATGGATTTGCTAGGGACTTTATTTTGCTTCTCCAGTTCCATCCTTCACTCTTTCAACCTCCTATGGACCCCAAGAGCTTGTAGGGAGACATAATCAGAGTCTTGTCCTCTGACAAATGTTTGCATTTGTCCTGTGGAAGGCAACAGGAGTAGATCTGTAGCTCAGGGAGATCAGGGTGCTGAGTCACCCAGCTCACTCTGAGCTTGGTTGCCAAGGGGTGACTGCGTTTCCTTACCAAATGCCACAGGTCCTATTTGGCTGCCTTTTCCGTAGCTATGGCTAATTTCTCTGGATTTTGGTAACCATTCTTCTCCTTGCCATTTAGGTCTGGGGTGGCAATGTATTCCCACTGTTGCTAGCCCTGGGATAATCACTAGCTTTTCTTGGTTTCTCTTAACCCTGACCACACATTGTTTAGTCCCTGTATTAAACTTTCCTTAATTCCCCATTTTGACTGTGTCATTTGTTTTTTTTGCGAGGCCCTTGACTAATACATAAGTAACTGGCTTTAGCAAAAACATCTTCAAATGGAATTCTGGAATCAGGTTGCTCACATATTGAGAAGCACTTGCTGAGAGGAAATGGGGTGCTAGTATCAGCGTACAGCAGCATCAGATTATCAGGGATGGAGGCAAAACATGCAGTGAGGGTGGAAGACAAGGTGTTGGAGCATCAAATGGCTGTGGTGTTTACTTGCTGTAGTACAGCAATGATTATGAAAATAGTGGGATCTGGTGATTACTTCTGACAGGACTTGGAAATTAAATTCCAACTGAAATTTGGAAAATATTTATCATGAATCTTGACAAATAAGTCCTAAAATACTTATATACGTTTACAGTGATAAGATGCTTGATCTTTTTACATCAGGAAAGTGGCATTAAAACAACCAGGAGATTAGCACCAGTAATGCTGACAATTCTTCAATACTTAGGACAGATTGTATGTGGAAGAAGAGCATTACTGATAAAATGCTAATGAAACTGTTAGTACAACTAATTTTAGAATATTTGGCAGTGTGTGGTTAAGATTCAGCAATTCTCTATTCAAATATACACCCTTGATATACGTACATGCCATTTTCAAGGAGACTTAAGCATTAATTGCATTATAGGCCATTAATTGCAGTATAAGGGTGTTAATCGCAGTATAGTCGGCAATGGCAAGAAGTAGAAACAACTTAGATGTGTATTATAGATGGATGTGGAGAATGAATTACACTAGGTTCACACAGTACAATATCCTACAGTGGTGAACATAAATGACCCCAATATTCACATATCAGAAAGCACAGATCTCCAAACATAATGTCCAGTGGAGAAAAACATATTGAAATAATACGTGTAAATATAATTTGTGCAGTGTTCGTGTGGAAATTAGGGAGACTGATGATTGAAATGTAATTCTGGGGAACTAGGGTGCATGCTAACTTGAGAAATGTAGACATGTTGCTGAGTATTCTATGGTGCCTGTCTGTGATTGATGACAATGAGTATCGAGAACCATCTGTTCTATGTATGATTTGTCTGAAGAAACACTGAGCCACATCAAGAATGTGTGTGGTTTACCCTTTTGGCCTTGAGGTTCTGCCAGATGAGTGCAGATTCCACATCTATTTCTGCATGCATTGTGGTCTAACCCCATTATACTTCAAACAATCCTGTTAAAGCCCATTGGTGACTTCCTAATAGCCTCCTGGTAACCCCTTCTTCAGTCCTTGACTGTGACTTTTCTGAATTATCTGTCATTGTTGACTTGTCTTCCATGGAATTCTATCTTCAGTTCTCCTCTACATCTCTGACTTCCTGTCTTCAACTCCCTTTCCACTACCACCTTGTAATGCAGGCTTTTGCTTTTCCTAGGGTCTCCCACAGGCATTCTTCTCTCTACATTCTTCCTGGTCATCCATCCACTGGTACAGCTCCAATCCAGGAGTTCCCTGGTCCTGTTCTCTCAGCTTAGGGCTCTTCCCTTCCTTCTCTCCCGGCTGTGTGCTCCATCCCTCCTCTGACATCTCCCATCTCTAGGGCTGTTCATATAATCCTCTTGTCCATTAGTTTGGATTGGTATTTAACATTTTGATGGTTGATATTTTACATTGTTTTAATCAATCCTTAGTTAAAATTTTTTCTATAACTTCTCATGTTGTCCAAAAAATTATACTGCCTTTTGCATTTTCTGTTATGGAGCTGTGTTAATATTTCAGTAGAATGAGCATCCTTGGGACACAGAGAGATATTTTTCTCTATGCACCAAGCCTGGCAGTAACCAGGAATAATTGACAGTTGGCTGCTTACATTTGAATGAATGCTTCTTGAAGATTCACTTTGAATTTAGTGATGCTTACATAATATGTTTGATAACCATATTTTAAGGATTCTTCAGCGATCCATTCTCCATCCAATGGATTCTTTCCTATTTTCTATGACTTAGTACTGGGCTAAGTGAGTAGTCTCCAGCAGAGTGCCAGAAGCAGGGACTTATGGACAAGGGGGTTTGTCAAAGTTCCTTTACTTTTAGTTAACAAGTCATTACTGGAAACAAACACAGGTTCTTTACCTGCCACACAAGAGGGGCCAAATCAAAACTGGAAAGCCAGGTTCATGGCAAGGAAAGGGTTTTTATTTTGGGTGACGTCAGCCAGGAGGCGAGAGTTAGACCTCAAATTCATCTCATCATCCTGAAAGATGGGAGGCAAGGGGTTTAAAGGTTGTGAGGAATGATGTTGCTTGTAGGGAGCAATAGCCTGTGGCTTTGCGAGTGGGTACCTTTCCACCAGCATTTGGCCCTGTGAGGCTGCCTTCAGGAAGGATGGTGAGATAAGGAAATCTCCAGGTGGGTGTCCTTAGTTGTCTGCCCCAGTGATGGGTGATGGATTCTGGCACCAGGAAGCTGAGAAGTAAGCAGAGAAATGGGATGGGTGCTTTTGGTTTTAACCCTGTATATGCTGGGTGTAATGTAAGGGAACTGATATCAGGGCTGGTATCAAAGTAACTTGCTAAGCTTTACCCACTGAACAAAGTTCTGGGCACATCTCATCACCATACATTTCCCATCTCATTGCCTCTGGACCCAGCTTCTGTATTCCTAGAAATGATCCTGCCTTTAGCACGTGTCTCCCCAGGACAGCCAGGTGCATTTATCATCACCTCCTTCAGACTCCCAGTTGCCCAAGCCTGATAAACTCTACTCCCATCAGTACAGTAAATTATCTGTTAGGGCACAAGAAATTCCTGACCTTGAAATTGTGCCGGTAATGTCCTCCCTACACTAGGAGGATCATTTCACAAAACATATTAACTAACTGTACTTTATGTAAAAGAATTGTTCCTGAAATTCAGGGCATTTAATTGAATATTTGGTCAATATTCATTTTGATTTGCAATATGATTTCTACGATGCTTATCTTTACCTTTCGAAAGTATTTTTTTGAAAAAATTTCTGGAATGCTCTATGATTTATTTAGTAAATTAAGATAATTCAGAAATGTAGGGAGGACAGTATGAGAGGGAACGCCTCCTCCCTCTCAAGCAGTGTGTTAGATTCCCAGGACTGCCATCATAAAATACCAAAAACTGGGGCTTCACATGGCTGAAATTTATTCTCTCACACTCCTGGAAGCTAGAAGTCTGAAATCAAGGTGTCATCAAGACCGCCCTCCCTCCGAAGGCGCTAGGAGAGAATCGTTTCTTGCTTCTTCCAGCTTCTGGTGTTTCCTAGTGTTGCTTGGCTTGTGCATTCAGTCTCGGCCTCCATCTTTACATGATCTTCTCTGTGTGTCTCTTCTCTTCTTTTAAGGGCAGAAATCATTGGATTAGGACCCACCCTAAGCCACTGTGACCTTATCTTAACCAATTATGTCTATGATCTATTTCTAAACAAGGTCACACTCTGAGATTCTTGGTGGACACGAATATTTGAGGGGTACTATTCAAGCCACTAGAATAAGCAATCCCATTAGCCAAAACTACTCACTTTTAACAGTTTGAGGAGAAACCATCCAAATAATTTTCCATAACCATAAGACATGTATTTGTATCCATGTGATCATGAACAAGCCTGAGCAGCCCAGAATTAGGAAGTCCATTGACACCAGACTGAACTTCTTCATGATTATCTATTGAGTGTGATGGGGCTAAGATAGCAGGTACAGACATACCTCCTTTGATTATGCATCACAGATATTGTATTTTTTACAAATTAAAGATTTGTGGCTCCCCTGCATCAAGCAAATCTATTGGCACCATTTTTCCAACAGCATTTGCTCGCTTGGTGTCTCTTTGTCACATTTTGCTAATTCTCACCGTATTTCAAAATTTTCATTATTGTTATATTTGTTATAGTGATCTGTGATCAGTGATCTTTGATGTTACCATTGTCATTTTTGGGGGGCACCATAAAACCGTGCACATATAAGACGACGAACTTAATTGATAAATGTTGCATGTGTTCTGACTGCTCCACTGGCTGGCCTTTCCTTTGTCTCTCTCCCTCTCCTCAGGCATTCCTATTCCCTGAGACACAACAACATCGAGATTAGGCCAATTAATAACCCTACATTGGCCCCTATGTGTTCAAGTGAAAGGATGAGTCACACTTCCCTCACTTTAAATCAAAAGCTAGAAATGATTAAGCTTAGTGAGGAAGGCATGTTGAAAGCTGATAAAGGCTGAAAGCTAGGCCTCTTGTGCCTAACAGTTAGCCAAGTTGTGAGTGCAAAGGAAAAGTTCTTGAATGAAATTAAAAGTGCTACTGCAGTGAGCAGTGAATGATAAGAAAGTGAAGCAGCCCTATCGCTGATATGGAGAAAGTTTTACTGGTCTGGATGGAAGATCAAACCAGTCACAATATTCCCTTAAGCCAAAGTCTAATCCAGAGCAAGGCCCTAAGTCTTCAATTCTATGAAGGCTGAGAGAGGACGCTACAGAAAAAAAGGTTCAGGTTAGCAGAGGTTGGTTCATGAGGTTCAAGGAAAGAAGCCGTCTCCATAGCGTAGAAGAGCAAGGGGAAGCAGCAAGTGCTGATGTAGAAGCTGCAGCAAGCAAGCTATCCAGAAGATTTAGTTAAGATAATGAAGTGGCTATATTAAATGACAGATTTTTTTCTTTTTTTTTTGAGGAAGATTAGCCCTGAGCTAACTACTGCCAATCCTCCTCTTTTTGCTGAGGAAGACTGGCCCTGAGCTAACATCCATGCCCATCTTCCTCTACTTTATATGTGGGACGCCTACCACAGCATGGCTTTTGCCAAGCAGTGCCATATCCACACCTGGGATCCGAACTGGTGAACGCTGGGCTGCCGAGAAGCGGAATGTGAGAACTTAACCGCTGCGCCACTGGGCCAGCCCCATAAATGGCAGATTTTCAAGGCAGATGAAAACAATCTTATATTGGAAGAATATGCCATCTAGGACTTTCGTAGCTAGAGAGGAGAAGTCAATACCTGGCTTCAAAGCTTCAAAGGACAGGCTGTCTCTATTGTTAGGGGCTAATGCAGCTGGTGACTTTAACCTGAAGCCAATGCTCATTTACCTTTCTGAAAATACGAGGGCCTTGAAGAATTATGCTAAATCTATGCTGCCTCTGCTCAATAAATGGAGTAACAAAACCTGGATGACAGCACATCTCTTCACAGGCATGGTTTATGAAATATTTTAAATGCACTGTTGAGACCTACTGCTCAGAAAAAAGGTTTCTTTCAAAATGTTACTGCTCAGTGACAATGCACCTGATCACCCAAGAGCACGGATGGAGGTGTACAATGAGGTTCATGTTGTTTCCATGCCTGCTAACACAACGTCCATTCTGTAGTCCATTGATCAAGGAGTAATTTTGACTTTCAAGTCTTATTCTTTAAGAAATATATCTGCCATAGAGAGTGATTCGTTTGATAGATCTGGGCAAAGTAAATTGAAAACCTCTGGAAAGGATTCACTATTCTACGTGTCATTAAGAACATTCAGGATTCATGGAAAGAGATCAAAATAAACATGTTAACAGGAGTTTGGAAGAAGTTGATTCCAACACTAATGGATGACTTTGAGGGGTTCAAGACTTCAATGGAGGAAGTAACTGCAGATATGGTAGAAACAGCAAGAGAACTAGAATTAAAAATGCAGCCTGAAGATGTGACTGAATTGCTGCAATCTCATGATAAAACTTTAATGGATGAAGAGTTGTTTCTTATGGATAAGCAAAGAAAATAGTCTCTTGAGATAGAAACTACTCCTGATGAAGATGCTATGAAGATTGTTGAAGTGACAAGAAAGAATTTAGAATACTACATAAACTAGGTTGATAAAGCAGCGGCGGGTTTTGAGAAGATTGAACCCAATTTTGGAAGAAGTTCTACTGGGGGTAAAATGCTATCAAACAGCATTGCATGCTACAGAGAAATCGTTCATGAAAGAAATAGTCAAATGTCATTGTTGTCTTCTTTTAAGAAATTGCCACAGCCACCCCAGCTTTCAGCAACCACCACCCTGATCAGCCAGCAGCCCTCAAAATTGAGGCAGGACCCTCCACCACCAAGAAGATTATGACTCACTGAAAGCTCAGATGATAGTTAGCACTTTTTAGCAATAAAGTATTTTTTAAATTAAGGTATGTATATTGTTTTTTAGACATAATGCTGTTGCACACTTTATGATAGACTACTCTATACTGTAAACATAACTTTTATATGTGCTGGGAAACGAAAAAACTCCTGTGACTCACTTTATGGTGATATTTGCTTTATTTTAGCTCTAGAACCAAACCCACAATATCTCTGGGATATGCCTGTATTAGGACTGCCAATCATTCTGGAGCAGCAAATGGGCAGGCCATGGCTCTGGCAGTAGGTGGGACATTCAGCAGCCTTGAAGGGTCAGCCAGAATGGTATAGAGTGACAGAGGTTGTGGCTCCTCATGATGCTTCTCCACCCTGTACCTCATGAAATGAGCTTAAAGAGAGCTGCGTTCTTGCTTCTTCATTGTTTATGGATCATTTCTGGGGGAAGCAGTTGAGAGACCATGGAGGTTAAGTCCTAGTTTCAAGGGTGTAGATTGAGAGGACAGTACAGGAAATTGGCAGGTCATATGAATGGCCCTTCTCAAGACCTTATAGGAGGACTAGTTCCAAAGGCAAGATGTGGTTAACGACAGGCTGCTTCTGACCCAGTCCCCTCGGTCAGATGGTGTGAGTGTGTGTGGTTAGTGAAAAAGAGAGGGAGATGGGGGAGGGAGACAGTGGGAAGGATGAGAGTAGGGAGGTGGGCGTGGGGGGGGGGAAGGAAAGACAGAAAGGGAAGTGAGGAGGGAAAGAGAGAGAGAAAGAGAGTGTGAGAGAGTGTAGAAAGGAGGAAGACAGAGAGAGACAGGGAGAGAGAGGAAGAGGGCATGAATGCCACTTAAGTGGATAATGGGTCATGGGACCATTAAAGCTGACTATCTGGGGGAAAAGAGGCTTCCTCTAACCCAAACATCTTCTAAAACAGTGATCTTCAAGTTAGAGTAAAGCTAAACGTGTCCACAGAGACTTTTCCATTGTACAAAAATTTCTAAATCTCAAATGCAAGTGTTCCTTTCTCTAAAAGTTATTTGCCTGAAGATGTCCTGTGTTCACTGTGGCAGGATTTCCCGATTCTTCCACATTTCAGGAAAGAAAAGTAAACTTGTCACCTACCTTAAATCTTACTACAGTGAGATGCTCGGGAGAAACAAAGATAAAACCTCATTTAGTAATTAATCAAGATACTACAGGCCCCCCCCCCCCCCAGGGCTTCTGCGTTCCCTGTTTTGTACCGACTGTTATAAACTGTGAAGAAGGCAAAGTCAGAAGTATTTTAGTGCATATTGAGTTGTTCTGAGTTAAGAATGTATATAAATTAAGGCAGGGTGATGGTGGAAGTA